AGTGATTGTGATAGTGACCATAATGTTTACGAATGATATAAAAGTGCTCGATTGCGGTGTGCAGCATCATCCTATCGTCGGCGGAGCCACATGTATCTCACCAGTGCTTTCTTCCTCTTCGCCCTTGTTGGGGGCTCCATTCGAAGCGAGGCATCCGCGACTGCCGCAGCACCGAAGCCGTCGAAAAGCTTGAAGGATGAGCCTGGACCTGCCTTGGCGAACATGAAGTCAGAGAAGAACTCAGAGATCGCGCCGCACCAGCTCCGACTGGCAAGAAGTCGCAAGAGGTCGCAACGACCGATAATGAGGATGATGAAATAGTTGAGCGAGGTGGGGATTCATTCAAGCTTTGTTTCCACTTGACCAGCAGGTTGAAATGAACATGTTTCAGAAGATCTTGTGGATAGATTTGCCGAGGCGTTCATCGGAATGAACAGTACACAAATCAAAACTTCCAAACTTGAGACGGTATGAGAGCTGGTCAGCACCAACTTGCAGCCAAGCGCTGCTACTTGAGGATAGGCTGAACTTCGTTGGCCTGATGAAACGCTGCAAATCTCAGACTTCTCTGTCTTGTTAGCTCTAGCCGACGTCGTCACAACCCGGCGGGTAGGGGAGGGGTGGAGTGCGCTCGTCTCCGGCTACGTTACCCACCAATAGTAGCCAGTTCAAGTTGAGAACAACTAGTGGCAGGAAACGCCGCGAGCAAGCCACTGCACGCCTTTTAGCGCTACCCCGCCGGATAGCGACGATATCGAATGTATGAGCTGTGGGCGCTCTAATGCGTATACTTCAGTGCAATACTGTTCAAAAGTGCAAGAAGATCTGGAGACAGAACGGACTTCACGATTTGCTTCGAGAATTTCTTAGCTACCGCGATAACGAACGCGAAGATTTGGCAAGGTTTCTCAGAGATGTGAGCACGCAGATTTCTCGACCAGTATTTCGAACAAGGGGGAACTTCTTCAAGTTTTACGTTTCATCTCTGTCCACAGACCTTTCGGTCACGTCACGTGAATAGGCTCTTTTAGGAGTACCATGTCCTTGTAGAAATCAAGAGAAAATTATCTAGTGACAGTTTGGATCGATATGAAGTTAATTTCTTGTATGAGTAAGTGAATTCGTCATTACAGCTTCCGAGCCAAATACATTGTCATTAAAAGGGGAGGGCGCGTGAATGGTCGTGGGTCGTGGCAGCAAGGGCAGCCTTCTCCAGCAACTGTAGGGGCAGGTTGGCATCATTTGTAGGGAAGACCGCAGCGGCTCACTCCAATCCACGCTCCACCTCGTTTGCAGAGATGATAACTGACTATAATGTCTTAATTTCCAGCGTTCTCCGCCTGTGGAGAAGACTACAATGTATCTGATCGAGTGGACTTGCGCAGAAAGTTCAAAGCCTTCAAATTGCTCGATGAAAATATGGAATTCTAATAAAGTTGTCCTCGTTATGTGTTGCAAATGAGTGGCTTTTTGGAAGTCTATTCAAGTGTTAGATGTTGAAAAACCTTCAAACTACTTGTAAGAGCTGCTCGGACTACAAAGAGCTTGTGTTTGTATTCTACTCTGCTGTGCGAATCCTTGGGACCGAAGTCAGGCTTGGACAGCAGGGAAGTCCTGTAGGGTCCCATGAGATAAATGCTGCGTAGGTGAGAGGGTGCAGTGACAAGGTGCCATTTTCTGGCAAAGAGCGAGCCTCCAAACATTTTACTAAAGTCGTGATCCATACAAGCTATGGGACAACCATTACAGCGCAGTCAGGCCGCTCTTTTTCCTCCCATGATGCCATCCCGAGCCAGCCCAGTACAGCTAAAGGGGACTTCGATTTGCCTGGGCTCGAAGCCATATCCCGTCACACAGGGATCCCGACTGTGTGTGGGCGAGAGAGTGTTGAGTGACGTGGCTCAGTGGACAGTCCTAGTCCCTCCCAAGGCGCATAGCGCTCAAGATTCAAGTGCGGATTCTGATCTCGGGGTCGTGGGGGAAATTTACCCCAAGCTGATATGTGGCGGCAGGCTCTCTTTCATGTACCCATTATTACCTAGTCGTCTTCTGTTTTGCTCAGAAGCACTTGATTTCCGGAGTTCTTCAGAACTTGCATGATGCTCACATTTCAAAACGCCTCTGACGGCAATCAGAAGAGCTACTGTCCATCAATGCAGTGTCCTGGGATGAGCATCCACATCGGTATACGTTCCAAATGGAGGAGATCCTTTTTTCCCCACAGACGACAGTGGTCCGGAGGAATACAAACCAGAACTTGATCACTTAGAAATCTCACAACTTTTCTGGCCTGTGAAACGTCACTTGGGGGGGGGGGTGCTGTTCAGCGGCTCCAGGTTGCAAGTTTGGATAGGCGCAATTAGCCAGCCGTACCACGATGGTTTCATAAAACCTTTCCAAGAAATTGGGTATAAATGCTCGTAGCAATCCAAGAAATTGGGTATATGCTTGTACAATTGGGTTATCTGACGTCCTGATCACATACGTCACGTTCTTCTGTAGTACTGACGCTCACGCAGGGCATTCAGATGTTTGCTATCTGCAGAAGTTTTGGAGAGATCACTTCTACTTCTGTCTACTGCCAGACTCACTGGCATAGAGCAGCATAATTTGGCAACTGCTCAAGAAGCATTGGTGCTATATAGTTGGGAAATCGACGAAAAACAAAATCAGACGTCCAAAGGACCTGCTAAGAAGCCTTCGTTCTGCATAGCATTGGATGAGCATTTTGGACGAGTTTCCCGTTGGCATCATGCCAACAACTGCTTTGGTAGATACGGCTGCACGTATGTATTCATGTATCCATGTAGCAGCGCTTCATGAATCAACTGACTTTACAAATGAGGCGATAAGAGCACCAGCCTCGATGTGGCTATGCGGCCATTTGTGGGCGAGCGGTTGCGATGGCCGTCTAGGTCCGCATGTTGCACTTGATTAGACGCTACAGCGGTGCCCTTGCTTGAAAAGGTGCCACACCGGGCCTGCTAGGGGACACCATATCCGTGGCAATCGGCGACTTCGTGGGGGCATTTTGCACTTTTGCTACTTCCCAGCGACCTGTCGAGCCATCTAGAAAGCTATTTCATGGGCTGACAAGAGAGGACAGGTTTCACCATGGCTCGACGAGCTTGCTTTAGCTCCACAAGAGTTCACAGGTTTCATCAGAGTAAAACTTGTAGACCACTAGTGAAGCAGCGCAAAAGCAAAATGCCCTCCCCCGTCGCCGATCTGCGCCCAAATTCTTTTATGCTCGGCGTATCAACTTGAAGGTCTTGTCGACTTGTGGCGTCGTTACCTTTAAGAGAGCGCTCTCATTGCCACAGAAAAGTGAATGTAATTTTCGTGATCAAGCACTGAATTAATCCCGAATGAAGTCTTCTACGAAATTAGAGGGAAAACTCATTGCACTGAGTTGACGTGGGCACCATTTCATGGTCAAATGGTGTCAACGCTAATGTGACTGCTCACATGCCTCGATGAAACACACATTTTTCATCGATTTCTTTCACACAACTCTTCATGTCAGAGAAAAATGCCTGCACTAAAAGACAGTTTCGCGATCAAGTGACCCGTAGAACCCACTTCTTTATTCAAACGGGGCGAGATAAGGAGGTCAGAGACGCGTGATTATTGCAACCTCTGATTATTTTCACTCTGCATTACAGCTACTTACACGCGCAATTACCTGTGTTGCCTGAAGCGTCGTAGGGGCAATTTCCTATGCTAGTCGAAGAGCTTGCCGAGTCTCTTCCGAGCTTGGCAGTTGTTCCGCATTTCCTGGATTCTTCTTTGAAAACAATATGCCACTGGCAGTATGTTTTGTAAGACAAGATAAGTTTCGGGATGCTTCGGTCAGAAGCTTGTCTGCATTGCGTCTGCATTGTCTACCGTCAGTCCAACTTCATGTACAAGATTTTTAAAAAACTACTTTCTTTTTCAATATCTTGTTTTTCGTCTTTGATTCGAGGTGCATTAAGTACTGGGGGATGCGCACAGAAACGATTTCATGGAGCTTACTGTTTGGCACATAAACTGCAGGTGTCAAGTCTGCGCTAAAGCCGAAAGAAGCATCGTTACATCGACAAGGGAGGTCGTTCAGGGCGTGGTGAGCTTTTTCAAAATGATCTTGTGCATATTGTAGGGGCACATACGAGGACAAGAAAACTGAGGTTCATTTTCGCTGCGCGCTTCTACGAATAAAAAAAACGTAAAAAATAGGTCGATGGTTCGGATCCCACCGAGGACAAAATTTTGCTTTTCTACAATTTTTCATTTTTTGGATCCATGTTTGTCTAGATAATTGGTCCTAACGAAAACATTCACGATAAACTGAACATCCTAACTTCTATATTCCGCAAAACTTTGTTTTTTTCCGTTCGAATTTAGTTGCCGTATGCACAGACTCAGCTCTTCGGCGCTATGCCGGTGCCAGATGGCACTGAAACCGAAAATAAAGTCTAGAATCGTGATCAGCACTGTCAATTACCCCTAGGAGCAAGTTTTTGAGCGAAAATTTTTTTTGACTTTTTCGGGTGTAGGTGACCGACCATTTGGTCGGCAGTGTGAGCGGAGTCTCACATCTTCGTAACAGCGATGACGTATCGTTGACGCTACGGACCCCGGACAACCCAGTAAGCAAACCCAAGAAGGTCAAAACAATTGTTTTGACCGAAAATTCGTTTTTAGTGGTAATCAGTGGCCCCCTGATCACAAATATTGAACACTATTCTTTTGGCGTCCACGTTACTTTGGGCGACAGAATATGCGTCCGGAACGTTTCCCTATATTGGTGTAATAACGAATTCATTGTGAAAAAATAGCACTGCTGGCCCAATATTGTCTATAATTGACACACCAGAAGTTACTAAATTCGCAATCAGATCCACTGTATAGCCTATGAGGATCAACGTCCAGCAACAATCTTGTTCAATGGTGCGTGAAAATCGAAATAGTTGAACAGCACTGACTCATGAGGTACAGCTACTCAGAATGTGCCCATAAATGGCAAATAATCCCAAATATCGAGTTATATTCATGCGCAGACACAAATGGAAGCGAGAACAGCGAAATCAAAAAAATGCAAAAAGCCACGACGCAAGGGGAGCCGAACCATCAACCCCACCCTCACTGTCCGATTGCGAAACCTCCACTTTATCCGCTAGGCCATCCGATGCTCGACTCTGTGCAGCGCTCTTATCGTTGATGAAACCTGCAAGAAGCCGTTCACCCTTGAGCATGTGACCCAAGTTGGAAGCTCACTTGCGGCGATTTTTCGCTTCGATTCAAATAGCCCCTTTATAAGGACCCCCACTCAGCAACTGGTCAAAGTTGCAAGTGACCTACGCCGTATAGAGGCCCAGAACGAAGCAGATTCCAAGATTTCTTTTCACTCGTTTTTTACCTTTCCTGGAAGCGCGCAGCGAAAATGAAGCACACTTTTCAGGTCCTTGCATGGAACCCCTACCAATATGCAAGGAACGTTTTCGAAAGCGCACCACGCCCTGAACACCTCCATAGTGAAGGCTGTTGGAATGCCAGATGAAAGCGGAAAAAAATTACATAAAAAAAAAACAAAAGGGATCCCGGTTTGAAGTGATCTCAATGTATTTTTGCTTCTTCCTCTACCAGGAAGTCACTTATCAGCTGCTGGCTCATAATTGAACGCCGATTACTCGTAATACTTGATGGAGAGGATCAATGCCCTGTTGTTTAGCACGACAAAGCTTTGTGATCCTCTTTACTGAACACAGCGTGGAAATTGGCGTCGTGAAGACATGATTACAGCCAATTACTACTGTGAAGCTATAATTTTAACGAGCCACTTTACTCGTTACAGATGTAGGAAGTAACATGTTCGTTATCAAAATACATCATTCACGATTCTGTAATTGCAAGCGACTGCTATGCTTACAGTAGTGATTCGTCTAGCTTACAGTATTCCATCGATTATACTCTATTGCCTCGTTGTGATAGCGATATTCAAGGAAAAACAACGCTATCACAAATCATTCTACTCTTTGTTGATTGTACAGGCAGTAACAGTACGTCTCTTTCAATATTTTATTTTATTTTTTCCGGTGCAGGATGGATCGCATTAGCGCAATTCGGCGACGGAGGGGGCGGAGAGCATTTCGCGCTTTCGCTCCTTCAGTAATTCCGCTTTGCAAGTATCACTTCGGTGAAACCTGTGAACTGTTGTGAAGCTGGAGCAAGCTTGTCCAGCCAACATGGTGAAACCTGTCAGCTCTTGTAGGCTCACGAAATGGCTCCCTAGATGGATCAACACTTCGATAAGAAGTAGCAAAACAGCAAAATGCTCCCACCCGATCGCCAAACTGCCCGATAGCATGCTTAAACTCGTGGGGCT